CCCCCCCCCTTCCCACTTTTTTTCACACGCGTGGAGAGCTAAAGACAAAAAACAGAACGGCGTACAGCTCCAGTGATCACCCGAAGAAAAACATGGCAAAAACACACCAAGCCTTTGTGAGCACTACAATAGTATCCTAGAGTACGTATCTAGACTGCCATTTAGTAGTCTCCCTCCCATCCCTCGAAGGTAAGCAAGAATCTAGACTAACTGCTATTAGTCGCTCCTTCCCCTCACGTTCGCCCATCTCGAGGGGGAAGAGGCTCTCGTAGTCTATCGGCGACCACGGCTCCCCCTCGTCCTCCGGCAGAGAGTCGGTGAGGTCCTCCAGCCACAGCAGAGTGTCCTCCGCAGTCGGTCGCTGTCCCGGCTCGGTCTGAAGACAAAGAAACAAAAACAAAACACAGCCACAAAACACTCAACATTAATATGAAGTCACACATGTTCGCCCCCCACCCCGCCCCCTCCCTCGCTCCTCTAGTGCGGCGGAGGGGCGGAGCACATTTCTACCACTACAGCGCATGCGCACAGACGCAGTTGGGCATTTGCTCAAGGTGTAGTTTATCCTCGTGGGGGGGGTGGGGGGTGAAGGAGGACCTGCCACAGTCAGCTCTCGCTCTTCGTAGTCGCAGATAAAATGGTCATAAACCCTAAATTCAAATCGGTTGCGCCGTTCGGTTAGGTCATTGGGGCGTGAAGAACTAGCCAGCTGCGCTCAAGAGACCAAGACACGACAGCTACAAAAGCAAGGGACAGACCCCCAGCTAAGGGTTCATATACACACACGCGCCACGGACAGCAACCACCGAACAGACGCTACTAATACCGCTGCTGCTGTGGTGCTTTGCCTTCGGGTCCAGGCAGTCTTACCTCCACCAGCTGGGCCGCGAGGGCTACGAGGGAGGCGCTAGTGTCCGGGGGTGCATCTTCCTGCAGGGCCTGCACGTCCACCTCGAATTGGTCGGACATGCGCCTCTCGATGAAGTCGTCCGTCCCTGCCTGAAAAACAAAATAAAAAAATAGAGAATTTTCATTCCATGTGCGAGAAAAAAATGACCAAAGGGAGGAAGGGAGGGGAGATAGAGGGAGGGAGGGGGCGTTCGAATCCAGTAAAACAAAAAGAGTACATTCGACGGGGAAAAACAAGCTAGTGATCCCTAGAGATGGCAGAGAGGAAAAAGACGACACCAGAGTTGATTGAGGAGAGCCAACAGGGCTCTCCCTCTCTGTCTCTGTCTCTCCCCCCCTCTGTCTCTGTCTCTTTCTCGTCCCCGGAAACCGTCTGATGGGTTCAGAAGAACAGCTTACAGCACACAGTACAGCGAAGGACACGACGTCGAGGAGGAACAACAAAGATGGATACTGCGAATGACACAAGATAAAACACCCCCTGGACCGATTTTCAAACCTCGATGTATCAACAACCGAAAAGAGTCACGGCGCTGACAACGGCGGCGTTGGAACCGTCTCGTCGAGAGCTTTCCAAAAATGTATCGTTTCGTTTATGCATCCTCTTCGTATCTTGTGTCATATACGGTACGTCGATTCTTGCGGTGACGGCTGCAAAGCTCTATCTCGAGTGTACGACCGACAAACTGAAGAACTCGTCCCCCAGCCAAGATACATTTCGGACACGAACCACGACATACACAAGCTTTCGAAGCCAACAAACACGTGACCCCTTCAATGGACACAGCAAACAGACAAAACCACTCCCGTGAGCAGTCCCTCCCCCCCTGAGCACACACGGGGCCTCCACACCTTCTGCCGGTAGATAGTCTCCCACAAGACGATGCCGAAGCTAAACATGTCCGCGGAGGTCCCGTACGGATTGTCGAACATCAGCTCCGGTGCCATGTAGGCATCTGCGCATGAGCGGCAGCGGCGGCGGCGGCGGCGTGGAACGACACGTCAAATACACGAGAAGCACTAAATGGAAATACATAAAAAAGAATGAACAAATGTCATAGGTGTCGGTAAGTGCAAGCAGCGGCAACAGCAGCCATGAGTTTACCTCCCTTTCAGGCAAACGCAACTACACGCTGACCTCTTGCCCGTTCTCTACCAACCGCCGTCATGCTGACCGCCGCTCCTTGCATCTTCCGATTCACACACGTCCTTGCCCCGCGCCCCCATCTCCCCATGTGTCACTCTCTTACCTGTTCCTACCACCGTCATGTTGGCCCCCAGCTGCCTCGCCATCCCGAAGTCGGCTAGCTTGCACCGGTGCCGCGAGTCCAGCAGTATGTTGGGGCTCTTGATGTCGCGATGGATAAGGCTTTTCCGGTGCAGGAAGTCCAGAGCACGGGCCGCGTCCATGAGAATGGACACGCGGAGCTTCCAGCCGACCTGGGGAAAAAAAAAGGGGGATGAAAGGGAAAGACTTGAGCGCGTTGACATGCCCACGCGTTGTATAGGTCATGTTCTTTCACTAATTGGTCTGTCGCTGCAGGAGATTTGCCGTGGACCGTTGCTCTCTTCGTGATTGCATGTTGTCTACCACTATACCTTGATTCCGCCGCAAAAAAAAAACACGGCGGTTGTCATTTGTTGTGTGTACAGCAGTACTCGCCATACAAGACGTGCACGTAATGCATACGGTTACTCCATTTCGGGTACTCTCCGTTGCGACGGAGAACGTGGCCAATCCACTGACAGCCGCACCCGCTGTGATCGGGTGGCTCAGTAGAAACGATGAGCTCGGTTCAACTCGCGTGCTCTCTCGAGTTAGGGCAGGACAAACGACTTACTATTCCCTAGCTCAGCCCAGCTGGTGTACGCAGGGTTGGAGTATGGACTAAGCATCAGCTGTTCGGCTCGGGAAAAGCGGTCAAACAGCCGAATCACAAGAAAAATCGAAAAATCGGCATCAAGTGCGCACGCTCTGTGCCCCCGCTCTGCACAACATATTGCTGGTATTCCCACTCCCCTAATCCTTCTTCTCTACCCCCCTTCACCCCAGGGTCCTGCCTCCGCACCTGTTTCTCTGACAAAAGCAGCGCCAGAAGGTCGCCCCCGCACGCCAGCTCTGTCACGATGAAAACGTGCCCCGTTCCTGGCAACACGAAAACATGGGGGAAGACAACGACAACACAAAAGACAAGCATGGAAAAAAAAATGAACTCCTTGTAAACATGCTGGTCAAAGAGTATCCTGTGTACTCCGTACTGCTGTCTATACAATGCTGATCAAAAAAAACATCTTTGATTGTCCTGTATCAAGGTTCAAAACCCCATGACACGGTATGTGCTGCAGCAGAAAAAACACGTTGCAACCGTTTTCACTGCTTGGGAGGACCGAGCACGGAAAAGAGCTGTACCTCCCCACGCGAGCAGCAACAACCAACAGCGTGGAAGGAAGACCGCGCAAAAAATTGCACGGGGATGATGACGTGGAACGGCGGAGGAGGTCAAGCCCTTGCATGTAGACTTGCCATTAGATGTATTCATGCTGTGTGACCACGAGTTGGAGTATACAGCACTGGTGCTGTGAGCGCTGATTTGAAGTGAAACCAAACAACAAAAAAAACTGCGGAGACATGTTGCATCATGTGACTACTGTACCGTAGACCAAAATTCCCAAATCATGCACGAATAACAAAAATGTATCCTACGTCCGTACACCTGTCAACATGTGACTACATACTGTACCGTAGACCGAAATCCACAAGTCATTTTTTTTGCTCCCATGATTGGACTCTGTCGTCTGCCCATCTGGCCCCAATCCTCACTTGAATTAGCTAGACGACCCAACCGGGGTCATATAGGAGGGGGGGGTTAGACCCCCTCCTGCGGTTCCTCCTGAAGAGAAGGCTACAGCAATCCAAGTTTACTAACAACGAGCTTTGCAGCGCGTCGCTTCCAACGGAGACCAGGATTTAACCAGTGAGAAAAAAACTCCCTCTGCCGGGACTTTTTTTTTTTTTGGCTTCACTTCACATCAGCGCTCACAGCACTGGTGCCGTTTGCCCCAACCCGTGGTCACACAGAAGATCCCCTCTCTACCCTCCCCTCCTGCGGTACTTTGCCTTCGATTTTCAATGCGACAAGAGTTCAGCACTCTCTTCCCTCTGTGTACACACGAACTACCAGCGCTATCCACTAGGCCAGGAGCGGAAGCGAGAGAAAAACTCACTTTGCAAGAAAAGCTCGCTTGCGCCGGGATTCGAACCCCTGACCCGACCTCTAGAAGGTTTCGAGGATTCCAACTAGACCACCGGGGCGACCGGGGTCACATGTACACGAATGAATGTGCTCACCGCCCGGCTCGGCCGAAGCGGCGTTGGAGGCCCCGACGTACTGAAGGAGGTTCTCGTGCTGGAAGTGCTTCAGGACGGCAAGCTCCCGCATCAGGTACGCCTCCAGGTCCGCCTCTCGTCTCGCCTGCTTCTTCACCGCCACCTGGGGGTTGGGTGGGGGGGGAGTGGGTGGGTGGGGGGGGGCTTGTTGGTCGGAAGGCTGGCGGTTACAAACGCGGAAGCGGACACAGGGCTCCTTCTTTGCCGGTCGCCCCAGTGGTCTAGTTGGTGACCCCGACAACTTCTAGAGGTCAGGTCAGGGGTTCGAATCCCGGCGCAAGCGAGCTTTTCTTGCAAAGTGAGTTTTCTCTCGCTTCCGCTCCTGGCCTGGTGGATAGCGCTAGTTCGTGTGTACACAAGAGGGAAGAGAGTGCTGAACTCTTGTCGCATGAAGGCAAAGTACCGCAGGAGGGAAGGGTAGAGAGGGGCTCTTCTTCTGTGTGACCACGGGTTGGAGTAAACGGCACAAGTGCCGTGAGCGCTGATTTGAAGTCAAGACAAAATACATCTATATATACACAATGTTCAATCTTTCAAGACTACTGCGGTCCATGGATACATGCAATGTTCAATCTTTCAAGACTACTGCGGTCCATGGATACATGTGGAGGAGGGAGGAAGCACCCGGAACGAGGTCAGTGCGGGCTTACAATGTTTAAGACATAGACTTCCCAAACACAGGCCGAGATGCCTTCCTGCATGGTCGGATGTGAGTGTGTGCAGAGAGGCAACTGAGACTTGAAACGGACGATGATGAGTATTCTCTTGTGAAGTACTGCTAGCTAAAGAGTCACATGAATGCTCACGATTTCAAAACATGAAAAAAAGAAAAGAAATCAGGCCACCTTTTCGGGGAAATATGTTTTCCAGACAAAAATCATGGCGCTGTTTGGTCGTTGGTCAAAAAGACTCCTCCTCAACGCTGTTGCACCTCCGCAGATCGTGGCAGATGAAATACGTGCGAATGCATCCGGTCGCCTCAATCATGCCATACTTGCATGCGCAAGAAACAAACTTGAATACTGTAGGAAGAGTAACGAGCCGGACAAAGAACATGGCATCACGGGCGAAAGACATGATGACGTTGTTTGGAAGACAGTCTTCATCGTGGACCTCAGCACAACTATTTCATGCGTACGGTCCGCATCGAAAGAAAGATGACGACATCCCTTGGTATTTTTCCCTCACCCAGCAGGAGCGGCAGCGGATGTATTTGATCTCATTTGTCGAATGCAAAGCCAGCAGCATAAATAGAAAGGGGTCCAGAATGGTGCCTTCCCAACACTCCGTGAGAGCAAGCAGCATGAGGAATCAATTAACACCAAATGTTCAGCGTATTGCCATCCTTGCGACCCCCCCCGTCGTTTGGGAAGCGAGTCTTTGAAACAAAACGTTGCATCATGTAGAACCGGCCGCCCCGGTGGTCTAGTTGGTATCCTCGAAACCTTCTACAGGTCAGGTTAGGGGTTCGAATCCCGGCGTAAGCGAGCTTTTCTTGCAAAGTGAGTTTTCTCTCGCTTCCGCTCCTGGCCTAGTGGATAGCGCTTGTTCGTGTGAACACAGAGAGAAGAGAGTGCTGAACTCTTCTCGCATTAAATAAAAATCGAAGGCAAAGTACCGCAGGATGGAAGGGTAGAGAGGGGCTCTTCTGAATGACCACGGGTTACAGAGTAAACGGCACCAGTTGAATGACCACGGGTTACAGAGTAAACGGCACCAGTGCTGGACAGGTGAGCGCTGATTTGAAGTCAAGACAATAAAAAAAAATCATGTGCACGCACATGCGTACCACAGCTACTTAGGGTCCCAAACAAGGGGCCGGGGCGATGGATGGTCTCCACCTCTGCCCGGTGTGGTGCCTCCCGTCTGCTGAAACGTGTGGCTGAATCTCAACCAACTGCCTGTACCTTCAACTGTAAATTATTCTTGCGGCGCTGGAGGGTGACGGCGACCGTTCGATCGATCGAATACCCTTCGTTTCCCTGTTCGGCAGTACTTTTTCATACATAGTGCTTGTAATATTTTATATATAAATTTATTCGACCGACGGAGGAATTGCTTGAGCAGAGAGTCGACGAATGCGGATTAAACTCGTGTCGTCGGCAGTATCTGTCACGCTCGAAAACGCCGCACGGGTCTGTGGAGGGACACCCTACTGAGGTCCATTTTTTTGGTATTTTCTATAACGTTGCACCCCCTTTGTGACCACGGAAGGCGTCCGCGTCGGTTGGACCAGTACGGACGATCGGAGGGTCTGAGAGGAGACCGAACGTTTTTTCAAGTGGCAAGACAACACCAACACCAACACCACCACCACCACCAACAACAACAACAACAACTGACTACACCGTAGTTTGTCTCGCTTCGCCTGCTGTCCTCCCCAGGGCAAAAGAGAGAGAGAGAGAGAGGGAGATACGGCGCGCGATCGATCGGATCGCGCTGTGTTTCTGTAAATGTAGCTAGCTGGTCCTGGTACGGGTGCGATGATCGGTGTTAGGGCGGTGCAGAGATAGGATCGCCACAACAGAATCGCACAAATACTGCTGCTGTAGGGACCGATGAAGGACAGCTGATTTCTTAAAAGGTCGTCGAGTTGCTCTGTGTACGATTTACGCAAAAAAAAAAATTACAAGTACGCAAAATTCAAATCTTTCGTTTTCGTCTTCCTGTGGAGGGTCTTTTTTTTTCTTTCCCACCACCCGCCACCCTCGGTCGCCCCGGTGGTCTAGTGGTATCCTCGTAATCCGCTAGTTGCAGAGGTTGTGAATTCGAACCCCCACAGCGTGAAAAATTTACGAAATGTGCGGGGGAAAGCGAAATATAGCTGACAAGCTCTCGTGAGTACCAAACTTCGACGTTAGCACCGTTGACGAGGCAAAGGGACGGCTGGACCCTCCTCGCGATAAAAATAAAATTCAGCACGCACCGCAGGAGGACGGTGGGGCATGAAAAGAAATAAAAAGAAGAAAGCCCTGGTGTTTACCCCCTCCTATGTGACCCTAGAAGGTTGTAGTTGTACGAAACATACACTGAAAAGTGTAGTACTCTACATGCGCTGAAAAGTGTAGTACACGTCTCACCACGAAAAATGGGGGGACTGTCGCCATGATAAATAGGACGAAAACAACAACAACAACCCTCGGGCAGGGCTCGCTCTTTCTCCTCCAAACAAGAGGAAGCTCCGTACGACACAAGCACTTTGGCGCCACACCAAACTCGACGAGAAAACTTCGTGGTCTGTGCTGCTAGGAGCACCTGCCAGGGTACGTACAACATTTGCATTCCCAGTTGACCGATACACTGGTGTAGTGTGTAATGCCTTCGGTCAACACAAACGAAGCCACTGGCGCGGGGCGGGGCTGCGGCGGGGCGGCCGGCATTTTAGCAGCCGGCTGGCTCCATGAAACACAACGGAGAAGCTTCCGGGTGTCCTTTAGTACTATTACTGATATACACTACAAATCTCCCCAGCAATCTACCACCAAGATTTATAGATGGTGTGCCGACATCACTGATCCCGCAGCTTGCTGGTCCTGCCCGCAAGTGCAAGCGGCCAGCAGAGCCTACGTTAGCCCCCAACCGCCCCAAAAGCTGCCTCGTCGTGCGTAGGCATCGCGGGCGCACCACCGGATCTGCTTCTTAACTCCCACGCATATGTTTGTTTGCCTTTTTTATAGGGAACGAGCGATTCTTGGTATGCACAGCAGCAGAGAGACGGTAAAATATCAGCTCAACTACTTGTGCACAACAATCGTCTAATATTGTACAGCAGCTTCGTTGCGATGCGCATCAACGAACCTGCCTGTCGACACTAGCAACCTAACTCTGGATCTAACGTGTGCTGCTGAACACCAAACAGCAGCCGCTCCGAAAGGAAGGCACGCTGGGGCTTTGGCGTGGGTAGCGCAGCTAAGGTCTCACAGCCAATACATATGAAACTTCTCCCTCTCTCTCACCAGCTCCCCGAAGTAACGTCCCAAGTAGACCTTGGAAAAGGCCCCCTGCCCAATCTGGGGACCGATGTCGACATCGTCCATGTTCAGGTAAAAGTCGCTGTCATTGAAGCTGAGCGCGTTGTCTCCCGAGCCTATGGCATCGCCGTTCTGCGTGCTGCCCAGAAAGGACGCATCAGCCAGAGAGCTGCTCATTCCTGAGCTCCCTGTTGTTCGCGTTGTGGGTGTGTCTGTTGCCTGCCTTCTTCGTTCGTCTCTCCTGCCGGTCTCCTTTCCGTTTGTGCAGACGAAAGGAAAATTTTTCGCGTCGGTAATTAGCAGACCGTCGACCACCTATCTATCCCCTTGTCGTTGCCTCGCTCTCTCCCTCCCGAACCAAGCTAGCCGTCCATCCAAGACGACGCACCTGGATCCTGTACCGCTCTCTCTGTTTTGGCGAATTGCCACACTAGTGCATTGCTTTCCCTGCTGTGCTGCTGCTAGGAGCAAGACACGACAGCACGAGAGACAGACGTGGGGGAGACGAGAAAGCGGTTTGATTGAACGTGCATACCCTCATGCAAGAGCGGTTGGTGCACCCCCCCCCCAACACATCGCCCATCACACCCAACCGCACAGCAAGCAGTAGCCTTGCACCCGCTGGCGCGGTTGTATGCATATTTTGGCACACTAGGGCTGGAGAGGGCGCAACACACCTAATTGTCTCACAGCTTCGCTGAGCCAAAGGAGCACCAAGACAGGCAGCAGGCACTTGTTGCAGCACGACAAGAGGGAAGAGCTCTAGGGGGAGTTTCAAACGCTCCTTAAATAGCCAACGGCAATCGCCGAGAACCATTGCCGAGTGAGTTGAGTGCAGGCGAGGGAGACAGCAGCGAGCCAGCCGAAGGAGAGGGCAACGCCACGGCTTCTCGGGGGAGGGCAGGGAGCATGGACGCTTCCAGCTTAAGCGCCTGGGCAAGCGAGCTAGACTCCAAGAACACCAAGCGCCGCCTGCAGGCCCTGGAAGATCTGGGAGAAGCCCTGCAGTCGCAACCGCCACGATCATCATCCGAGACAGCTTCGGGAGGGGGCCTAGCCTGCAACTACGACGACAACTCGTGGCAGCAGATAGTGGCTCCGCTCGTACACACCCTGCGAGACAACAACTTCAAGGTCTGCCGCGCGAGTCTGGCCTGCCTGAAGAGCCTCGTCGCCCGGGTCACGGAGCACGACGCCACTCGTAAGACAGCGGGCCGCACCGCCGCCGCCGCCGCCTCCGGCCGCAAAGGAAGCACCAACAGCAGCATAACGCCGTTCCTGTCCCTGATCACGCCGGCCGTGGTAGAGTGCCTCGGCAACTCCAAGGCTGCAGTGCAGGAGAAGGGCGTCGACTTGCTGCTGGCCGTCAGCGACCCAGCGGTCGCCGGGGGCCGTGACACCGTCTCCTCGCTACAGCGGCACTTCGCCGGGCACCGGAACTGGCGCGTGCGGGAGCGGCTAGTGGCCTACCTCGGGCGCGTCGCAGAGCTTGACCCCGCCGGCATCAACAGCATCCACCATCAGCAGCAGCAGCAGCAGCAGCGGGGGGGTACGGCGGCGGAAACAGAGTCGTCCTTGCTGGCCGGATTGTTGGCGGATGCGCTCAATGACTCGGCCTCCCAGGTGCGGCAGGAAGCGCTGGGGGCGGCGACGAGGGTGGTCAGGATGCTCGGTGGGAACGGCGGTCCAGGTCTGTTGGTGAGTGGGTCAAGGTTTCGATAGCGGTGATCTCTTCAATGTTGTGGGAAGTGTGTATATATGTCTTCCAATTAGCATCAACCGCGCTCACCAACGAAGGGACGCCAATTTGTGTGTGTGTGTGTGTGTGTATGCGGTTGCGTGGAGGCCGCCTCAACGGTTCATAACTTCCGTCGTGGTTTGTTGAGGGCTGGGCGGAACAGCAGTTGACCTGTCATGGTCTTCCGAGACGTGGAGGAGTAGCGCAGACGTCTTAGGAAGCCAGTTCTCTGTTGCATTCGCGCTTTCTGATGACCCTCGCAAACGGATCAAGATAGATGCACACACTTTGCCGATACATACCTATGTATCACCGCACGTTCAACCTAAGAGATACAAGGAGCAATCCTTGCTATGCCCCATCAGAGCACACGTGTTCAGGACAACACAGATACCGCGAAAGAAGTCAAGATCATCGCTTTGGCGACCAGCACCCCGAACCGACAGAAATGCATTTTTTTTTTTTATGGGTGAATTGCCGTTACTCCGCCTGTCTCTAATCTTGCGCACCGCCCGTCCCCGCTCGTTCTTCCCCAGGCCCAGCTGGAGGCGAAGGGGGTCCGGCAAGTAGTGCTCTCGGCTCTTCGGGACGCCGGGAGCGGCAGCGCCACTGGCGGCGGCGGCGGCGGCGGCGGTGGAGAAACGGGCTCCGCCTTCACGGAAGGCGCCGCTGCCACAGCAGGCCTGCTGTCACCGATCACTCCCGCACCGCAATTAGCGTCCCGTTCCGGCGCGGCCGCCGCCGCCGCACAAGCAGTAACGACGGTACATCGCGCTGCTGCTGCTGGTGGTCATGGTATCGCTAACGGCGGCGGCGCTCGCCTCACGACGGCGACCAGAAGTAGAAGGCCGACGGCTGCGGGAAAGGGGGGACGGGGAGCAACTACGTCCGTCTTGACGCGGGCGGGGGTAGGCGTACCAGGAGAGCGAGGAGCGCCTACACCGACCGGTGGGGAAGCGGCCGGGCGTGGAGGTGGCGGCAGTCGGGCGGGTTCTCCTACGACCTTGATCGGGAACAGCCCGCGGGGTTGTGCGCTGGGCAGCGGTGGGGAAGAATCGGCTTTTTCCGCGTTGGAACCGCTGGTACGAACGAGGATCTGTTTAAGGGGGCACACAGTGTACTGCTGTAGCCAGTCGGTCGATCGGTTGTTGTTGTTGAGGTACCGTAGTTACGTGAGTCATGCCGTTTCCCGGGACAGAAGCGTGCATGCACCAACGCCCACAATAGTTTCCTGAAGAATGAGCTCGGGGAATACGGCAAGCACCCCTTTTCTTCTCTGGCCTTTCTAAAAGTGTTGTGTATTCAAACCCGTGGCTTTCGTAGCACGAGCAGCGTTGGCCTCACCACGCACATCGTTCAAGAGGACAGATCTTGGGCGCTACAGGTCACAAAGCAAACATTCACAAGCAGGCGTGGCGGGTGTACATTACGCCTGCGTGCTATATTATGTGTATACTGTTTTTGGCATGTGTGCACACCTATTTAGCACGTTCTTGTATCATCTATCGGAGACTGGGGACATAGGAAGACACGTACCCTTCAGCCCCCTTGGCGCACCCCCTATTTTGTCGAATGGCCCCGCGATCTTTTATCAACGTCTCTGTGCAGCGTCGTGTGCCCTGCTTTCGTACGCGACGACTCATCACCTGTTAAAAGCCTGTCGTTGCTGGCGGCCGGAATAATTGGAACACTCGTCCACGGCCGAGCAGGTGGCCGTGACAGTGTACACCGAGCGCGACGTACGCCGTGAGGTGGAAGCGGTGAAGGCGGGTCTTGAGCACGAGAGCGACTGGCAGAGGTGGGTCTCCGCCATGCGGAGGCTCGCGGGCGTCGCTCTCGGGGGGGGTGGTTCGGAGTTTTCCGCGCTCCTGGCGGGGCTCGTTCGCGCCAGCGTGCACGAGATGGTCGGGCACAAGGTGCGTGTGTGTATGAGAGAGAGTGTGTGTGTGTGTGAGAGAGAGAGAGGTGGAGGGGGTAATTTGTCGTTGGTGAGCTGTGCGTGGTAGGGGGAGGACACCGCTGCACCCCGCACCCTCTCTTTTGGGAGCAAACGCCGCGTTGACTCTTGTCAATGTTGTCGCAGGTTGCGTTGTATATATTCTCTTCTGAAGAGTGTCTTGAGGAGAGAAACGGACTTGCAGGGTGGGGTGGTTTCGATGCAACGAACATCCTCTGATGCTTGTCTGTCGATCGCAGAGGGCACGGCGCGCGTGCGTGGACAAGGCGACGCTTGCTCTTTCGATGCCATCCAAGAAGGTCACCACCAGGGAGGAGGATGATTTCTTCTCACTCACGCATCTGTGCAACAATATTTTGTGTTATGCTTCGCGTGCGCGGCAACAGGTGTCGGAGAACCGCAGCGCCGTCGCCCGCGAGGCGTGCCGATGCGTCGCCGTCCTCGCCAGGTGCCTGACGGACCACTTCGGGGCCCTGGCCGAGCTGTGGCTGCCGGAGCTGCTCCGGAACACGACCCGCGCGGTGGTCGTCGCCGCCGCGGGGGACGAGGCCGCGCGCGCCATCTTCGGGTAAGCGTACGTCGGGTTTTATCCCTTTTTTTTTGTGTGTGTTTTTTTTTTAAGAAACGTGCATAAGTCAAACCGTTTCGACGCCTCGTTGATGCAACGTTCAACCCGGTACACGTTTTCCCCCTCATCGGGCTTGCCTTCGCCCTGTATTCATGACCCAATGCTAAGCGTGTTGGTCGAGTCAAACTTGTGGCTGATGACAGTTTTTGTCAGTGGGCGAGCGCTTCGCCAACCTTTGCATGCGGGGAGGGTCTGGCGACATACCGATGTTCGGCGTGTCTGATGACTATCTTGCCGTCGTTGCTTGCGAGATATGTAGCGCTACCTCCTGAAAACGGACGATTACGATTTGGATCGAAATGGCAGGTGCACGAAGGACGGGTTCCCGCGCCTCTTGCCGTATCTGGTCGACACTGCCAAGAACAAGAGCGCCGCGATACGACGCCGGTGCCTCGACTACGCCGTGCTCGCCCTGGCTTGTTGGGGCGACGCGGCCTTCGATCGATGCGCCGTCCAGCTGAGGTGCGGTTGTTTGTCGCTGTCTCGTCTCGCTTTCCACCGCGGTCGGTGTTCGCTACAGCAGCAGTACTGCTGTCCGTTCGCTCCGCGGCTTGTTTCCTTCGTTGTCCGAAACGTTGGGATGCTCTCCCAAGTGCAAGGTGCCGCAAAGGTGCGAGTCGTCGCACACACCCTGCCTACACCACCGGTCAAAAGCTTGATTGTTCCGCGATCAAGGAGATGCCAATGATGATGCCGAAAATGTTGGCGGTGTCAGTTACAATAACATTTTTTTTTCCGATATATTTCCTTGCACGTATCGGTTGGCCTTTTTTTATTTTCGCGTCGTCTTGGTTGTGCAACGGAATCGAGCTTTGGGAGTCCGTCTGCGGCGCGCGCGATGACTCGCATTTGCACTCTCTGTGCCTCCCGATCATGCACGCTTGTACAAGTAGGATGATGCGGACCCACACATTTTCTTCAAAACTCCTCCCGAGCTTTGACCACGTCCGCACAGACGTTTCCCATCCCCCCTAGAGATCCCTCGCAACGGCGCTCATTGCTTGTTGCAAGAGTGTGTCAACAACGTTGTGTCTGGGACGGTCATTGCTGTGCCCCCCTTGCGTCCGCAGGGATATGGTGGCGGCGGCAGTGGCGGACGCGGACAGCTCGGTGAGAGCGACAGCGCGCCGTGCCTACTGGGTCCTGAACCTCCGTTTCCCGGACTTGGCGCAGTCGGTCATGGGCTCGCTGGCTCCTTCCATGCAGGCAAGTCGCACGCGTATTTCGATTGGCTCCCTCTCCCGTTTTTTTTGTTTGATTCGTTGAGATTTGGAAAGTTGGTCAGCGAAGAAGAGCGATGGCGATATCCATGTCCAATCCACGTGATATGAGAGGCGATTGGGTGCGGGGCTGCTGCTCTTGGAGCCGAGCGGCGCCTAGCGTAACCCACCGCTTAGCGTGAACGTTACCACATTCTCGTCTACAGTCGAGAGAACAGTCTTCATCACACGCTCGTGCTCACTCAAACCTCGCGTGCGCTATTGGCCAACCTCTATTTTGTGCAGAGGCATGTTCTTCGCGAAGACCAAGAGTTCGACGCGGAAGCGTTTGTTCGTGCAGCCAATGCCGCCGCCGAGGACCCGCAGGTGACCCTCCAACGCCCTAGATAGAGCTAGCTCTCTTGGTTCTTGAAGTGCTCATGTGTACGCATGTCGGAATTTCCGAGGCAAGAGGTTGTTGGAGAGCAAGAAGAGACTTCTTCGCTGTTTTCGGTACGAACAAGAATATCCAGTCGTGCAACGGGAAGTAGTAGCAGCGTTCCATGCTGTGCTTAGAAGTGTACTTCGCTCTTGCGGTTGGTAGGTTTCGTATTTCGCGTTTTTCTAGCGCATGGTAAGGTTACCATCACCTGTTTTGTTGTGTGTGGCATTGCCCTCGCTGTTGCAGTCCCTGCTGTTGCACCCGCCCTGTGTCTCACGTCGCGGCGCCTGCGACCACATGCGCCCCAAGCAAGCGTGTCTTTGTTCTCGCTCCGTCATGATCGTGATTCGCTCTCTTCCCTCCCATTTTTTCGCCCTCCGAAAACAGCCCGCTCTTGGGGAACACCCTGAAGATGTTGAGGGATGCTATGACAACGACGGCAACAGCGTTATCACCGCCGGCGGCAGTGCAACCACACCCGGTGCCACCGACGTTTCCGCCAGCCGGATGAGCAGCAGCAGCAGCAGCAGCAGCAGCAGCAGCAGCAACAACCTCCAAGCATCATCCTCGGCGACGGGGGTGGCGGCGGCAGCGGCGGTAGCTCGCCGCGTGCACGGGACGCACCACGGGGCCCCCTCCTCCACCAGCAGCGGCGCCCATCAGTTCGCTCAGAGACGGCCGGCCAGTGCGGCCTTCGACGGCGAGGGTGGGCTGGCGGCGGCGGCGACGGCGGGAGGTGCGGCGAGGTCGTCGTCCGCAAGGGTGAAGGTCGATCGCGGTGCTGCTGCCGATAGCGGCGGCGGTGGTAGCGGCAGGGTTTTGCGTCGGGGAGGCGGAGCGCCGGCGAGGAGAACACGGCCCCCTGGGCGAGCACCGGCCGCGCACGACGGCACGATGGATGTCGCCGACAACCGCAACGCGTCTTCTTTCGGCGCGGGTAGTGCCTTCGACTCTGTGGGCGGCGGCGGTGGTGGTGGGGATAGCAGCAAGAACAGGAGCGCTTCGTCGGCGTTACGCGTCGCAGGCGGCAGCGGCGGCGGCGGGAGCGAGGGAGAGCTTGCCGCGACGATGATGCCGGCAACGGCGAAGTCTGGAGCTTTCCGCGTGCCCCGTGGCGGTGTGAGTGAAACGATGACTCGCGTACCTGCTGCAGCAAGTGGGGATGCCCTTCACCAACGCTCCCCCGCAGCTCGGGTCGTGGCGAGAAGATCGTCGGTGGTTCCGGCGGCGGGGGGCGAAGGGGAATACCAAAGCTATGGCGCCCCCGGGGCGCTCGGTGGTGTGTCCAAGGGAGGGCGGGGGGTGCAGCCAGCCAGGATTGTTGGGCGGCAGCAGCAGCAGCAGCGGTTGGATGCGAGTGCGGTGGGGAGGCGGGAAGAGGAGCCTGGGGAGAGCAAAGCGGACGGGGGGGGAGCGATGAGGGCCGTGGTCGCTGCGCCGATTGTTCTCGACCGTCGGCACGTGTTGCGCCAGGTAAAAAGGCAGGCCGCAAGACCCGAATATTTTTTACAACCTAAGAAATCATGTAGATCAATACCATTTCCCATCGTGTGAAGCGAGGCGCGCTGGTGTGCGGTATGAAAACCCGGCGCTCTGTTGTTGTGCGCGCTGGGCAGCCTCTCTCGCTGGCAACCCGTGGTTCTATGAAGAACCAGTAGCCCCTTTGAAGCTCAATATACTATTCCTTTCTGAGGCGGCCAGTCCATGTTGTGCTGAGCTCTCCCCGTTTCCCTTAACGCACCCTCCGTTTTTTCTGCCTCTGTTTTTAGATGGACGACCTTGCGGATCAAGCCGGCGCGTCCCATTGGGGCGCGCGAACGGAGGCTCTAGAGAGCATGCTGCACCTCTTAACCGCGGAAGGCGGCGGTGGCGGCGGAGGCGGAGACGGCAGCAATATTGGCTCTGGTAAGAGGGGCGAGGGCGGAAAGTTCGTGCTGGAGTCGAGGCCGGCGTCCAGACGGCTGGAGACCGTGATCGCGGAGCGCACGCGGGACGTCAACTTCAGGGTCGTGGCCGCGGCGCTGAAGCTCTTCGGCGGTCTCGTGGAAGCGCACCCGGCCCTCATGGCCGACCACACGTCGGCCCTCCTGCCGTCGGTGAGGGAAGAATTCTGTTTAGATTGGTCACACGTAGGCAGCCTACTACTGCTGTCGTTCGTACAATCGGTTCCTGACGAGGTTGAGGCGGCAGCAGGTGGAATATCGGCCGAAGATTTATGAGGGGGGGGAGGGGGGGTTGGATAGGCCGAGTTTTCCCACTGTTGCTGCGGCGGATGCCTGCAGATTCATTCCAGTAGGAGACTTTCGGTTTACACCAATTTGTTTCTCGTCTCATATTTTTGAGCCGTGGCTCACGGATTTTACGTATTTGGCGTCGCTTACTGCTGAACTCAAGCTATCACACACGGGGATGGTATTGCTTAGGCAAGTTTTCGATCCTCTCTCTGTCTCTCTCTCTCTGTCTCTCTCTCATTCTCTCTCTCTCTCTCTCTCTCTCTCTCTCTCTCTCTCTCTGTGTGTGTGTGTCTCTCTCACTCACTCTCTCTCTCTGTCTCCCACCTCCCTCCGGGTTGCCATTTATGACTAACACCGCACGTGTTTTTGTCTTCTTTTTTTGTTCGTGGGCATGGTTACAAACACAGGTGTTCCCAACCTTGGCCGACCCGAAGGAGCCGGTACGTCAGGCGGCGAACGAGGCGCTGAACGCCTGCCGGGCGGCGTACAACCCTAACCAGCTCTGCTCCTCGCTGTGCCCCCGCGTCCTCGAGCTCCCGGCAGGCCGCGCGCGGACCGGCCTCCTCGAGTTCCTGGCCGTGGTCGTGCCTCACTCGGCCGTGTTCTTCCTCGACGGGCACCACTCGTCGGGAGGCGGAGCGGGAGGCGGGGGGCACATGCAGTCTCTCACGCAGCGGGTTGCGTCCGCTCTCGCGCAGACCCCGCCGCCGTCGAACTGGGACGGGTCTCTCGGGGAGGACGGGCCTACGTCCGCCGGCCCCGCGGCCTCCGCCGCGATTCGGCTCCTGACGGCGCTGTCTCGCTTGGACGGGGACGCCCTGGCGACAGCGTCGGCGGCGCTGCCGCCGGAGCCTGCCGCGGCGGTGCGGCGGGCGCTGTCGTTCCTCCGCCCCAAGTCTCCGTCTCCGCCGAGGAGAACGGGAGCTGCTGCCCTGTCTCCGACAAGTGCCGGCGAGAGCGCCGTTGCCGCCGTGGGCGCCGTAGAGGCGGATGGAACACGTTCCCCGACCACGGTTTCGGATGGAGATGGGGAAGAACATGGGGTTGCGGCTGTTGTGACGCCTGCGGTAGGCGGTGTGCGGGGCGTCGGGGGAAAGCCTGGCGACGGGAACGAGGGGTCGTCGTCGCCGCCGACGACGACGACGACGACGACGACGACGACGACGACGACGCTCGAGACGCCGCGACCTCCGGTGGTAGCGGCTGCGAGTCCGCCAGGGGAGGGAGGGTTCGCACTTTCTTCGAATCCCGGCAGCGCGTTCTTGTGTGAAGAAAGAAGTGGCGAGCGTGGACGGCTAGAAGCGGAGTCGCCCTTGTTCACACCACCGGAGCAGCGGCAGCAGCGGAACCCGCATCGTCAGCCACTGGCGCCGCTAACCCCGCGGGACTCGAACCGCCAGCTAACTGGCGAACAGCATGCGGGCTTGGTTTCCGGGGGAAGTGGCAAAATTAAGCAGCTGGCGGGATTTCCGACTCCGAAAAAGAGTCTTGTTCTTTCTGCTGTAGCTCCCGCTTCCGCCACAAGATCGTCCACAGTGCCAGCGGCGACGAGTCAGGACCAAAAGGCGGCGGCGGAGGCGGTGATGGTGGGCGGGAGGCTAATCGCGGGGCTGTCCCGCGGAGCGCGCTCGCATCGGAAGATCGAAGCGCTGTCCTCCCTCCGAGGGTTGGCAGACGGGGAAGGCGCCGGGGGGCGCCCGGACTTCTGGCCGCGATACTTTGGTCAGGTGCTCATGCTCCTGTTGGAGGGGGCGGCGGTGTCATCGCCGGTGGCGGCGGCGGCGGCGGGTGACGGGGTTGGCCGAGGAGAAGCGGCGGCGACGGGGGAGGAGAGCACACGGAGAGGAGGCGGCGACGGCGGCAGACAAGGCGGGGTCTACTCAACCTCGTCGTCAAGGCGGCGGGCGCTGCTTCGGGCGAAGCACCTACAGGGGGTGCGGTGCCTTGTCGCGCGGCGTGGGGAAATGTTCCCGGGGTCGACGGAGATGGTGGTGGGCAGGCTCGTTGAGATCGGCGGCGGCGGCGGGGAGGGGGACCCTAGCGTTGCCGTCCGGTGCGAGGCGGAGGCATGCCTGGCCGACCTCGTCAGCGTCCTAGACCCCGCCCGCTACCTCGCCGTGTTGACCCCGCTCATCGCCCTCCTCCCCGCCGCCGCCGCCGCCGGTGGTTGTGGAAACCTGGGCGGCGACGGCGGTGAGCCGAAGGAAGGTCTCGCGGGGGGTGCGCAGGGCGTGCTGGCGCAGTGTGTTGCGCTCGGGGCGCTGCGCGCCCTCACGCCGCGGCTGTCGTCACCGGGGCTACTGGGCGCCCTGGGCGCGGGCCCCCTGCTGGCGGGGCTTGAGGCGGCTCTCGGCGGTGGGGACCTCGAGGCGCGCAAGCGAGCGGTGTTGGCCTTGGTGGAGATGTACCAGGTATGCATACGTGTACAGGTGTTTACGTGTAGGAGACAACAATAATTCATGTGCTCGGGGCGTACCGTGGCGAGGCGGGGGGGGGGATTGTTGCGCAACACATTTTAGAGCGCATGGGTGCTGTTCTGCTCTCTTCTTTTGTTGCGTTATAAGTCAGCGTATGTTTTTTTCTGTGAATACTGAAGCACTCGCAGCAGTGTTTCGTTTTGCTGTTTTTGCCTCCTGTCCTCACCTCAAGTACATGCGTCGCGGCAGTGTCTTTTTTCCCTCCTATGGTTTTCCGGTGGAAGCAGGGAAGCTGGCAAGCCTGCCCCACCCCCGCCGCAGCCAGGGTCAAGAGAGGGATGATGATATTACTACAATATTGTGTCCTCGTCCTGTATTGCAATCGCGTGTACCTGGCCTTGTTGTTGGCGTTGACCTTTCGCTCCTAACTTTCCAATTTGCTCTGTTCGCCAGGTGCTGGAAGAGGCCCTGCTACCGTTCCTGGCCAACTTTCCCACCAACCGCCTCAAGCTCATCACGATGTACATCGAGCAGCGCAGGGCGAGGGACAAACGCGCCTCTGCCGCCGCCGCCTGTACCGGGTCTGCTAGCACGCCTAGGTTTGCGACTGTGAAGTCGGGTGCCAGTGGGGCTGTTGCCGCGACAACGGAGACTAGATTTACGCCCATACGGTAGGAGGTACTAGCACAGCCAGCAGGGGAGCGTTTCAATTCTATTCCCTCGTGTGCCTCTGTCAGTTGCTTGTCCATCCGACCGTGTTTGCTTGATGAAAGCGTCTTGGGCTTGGGCGCGTGGTCGGATCGTTCCAAGCTTTCCCATGTGTTGTCTAGGTTGGGTCGTCGTATGTTCCTACAGCAGTTTGGAGGCGGCTGGCGTTGCCTGGTGGCTCTCGCGGCATGCGGCAGGTTATGTGCCTGTCCGCATTTGTCCTCACCTGTCTCTTTGTTTTTCACGGGTGCGCTTGAGAGGAGAATCCAAGGTCACCTTGTTCCGCAGGAGCTACCACACGGTTTCTTTCCAAAGCGTTTTCAGGGGATCGGATTTGCCCTCGCGTGATTTTTGGCATTTTTTACGGGTTTTTTCGGAGGGCACGTCTTTCGGGCGAAAGCTGCGCACCTGCCTGTGCCTGTTGAGTGACCGCGACTTTTAGTCGGTGTTCCTTGCGTGGCTCGCGTGGAGACTTGGAGCCCTGCTGTAGGCTATGTATGTGGGGGTGTGCTCTCTAATGGAATTAAGTTACCCCAGGGCAACAGAACCGGAAGTTATTTTTTTGGGGGGAAGGGTACCATATCTAGGGATCGTGCTCGTACTATGTGTGTGCGCTACGTCTTCGGGGGGGAGGGGGGTGCCGGGTTAGTTGACGCTGGAGCTGATAATAATGTCTTATCGCCGCTTCCTGGAAACGACGCATTCGTTTCTTGCAAACAGAAGTTGCCGTGAAAAAAATTATAATAGGTGCTTTGTATTGTGAAACCCAGCACCATCATAATAACGTGCAGCACTCGCTGGCTGGAGGTAATCACGGCCCCAAGATTGGGGCTACATGCCTAAATGTACTTTGACTGCGTGAGCGGATGAGAAGTGTACGCGCGCGAAAAAAGTGTGTGCTGCCCGGGAGCGCTCTCATTGCCACGTGCGGTAATGTTTGGCGCTCCTATACTTGCGGAGGGTCAGTGCAACAAGCAACGACACCTACGATGGAACAAAACAAACTACCAAGTAGCGGCTTAGCCTCCGCGCCCGCATCCGTACAACATGCTAAGTGGCTGTTTTTCAGCCGTTCGTTATTTATTCATGGACACGAAAAAGCCTGTCACCATCCTGGAATACACCATCGAAGGGTACGACAAGCGATCGAGCATCCCATCCCCAGACCACTGCAACCCGCCCGTCTCCTGCTTGCTGCTCGTGCCAACATCTCTTTGCACGGTGATCAGGAACCCTTGCCTCTTCGATTCAACCGATTCCATCCTTCGAACGTCAGCGCCCCGTCCCCTTTCCCCTCACGCACTGCTGTGTGCAGCGAGCGGCGCGCAAAAGGGGGGGAGGTCTATTCTAGGCCACAATCCCTCTGGCTGGTCATATTTACCTGAGGTCCTCCTGCTCTACAACCATCGAACCGGACCTATATCCCTTACAAAAAAAACAGACCCCCCTACCGGAATGGACCCCCGGCATGAACAAGCAACAAGGTTTGAGGTACATCGAATGTACCACGCCAAAAGAAGATAGTTGTAGGGGGAAAAAATCGGCGCACAACAGCACCAGAGCGCACACGTCGTCCAAAAAAACACTCGCGAAAGTCTACCGTCCCCCAGCAGCACCACCCCGGCCTCCGCCGCGGTGACCTGCTTCCTGCTGAGACTGCTGCTACTGGTATTGCCGCCGATCGTCGCCCGCAGCCGCTTCGAGTCTCCGGAGATGTCTTGCTCTTCCGTCCCTCTAGACATGGTAGATCGCCTCCTGTGTTTGTCCTCCTCCGAAGAAAAGGTACGGACGACGACGACGACGACAAGCCCACCACGACCACCACAGCAAAAGTAGCGGCGGAACCTGTGATGTTTTTGATTACTTAGAATCCGTGCAGCACCACCTGCTCGCGTGAGAGAGTAACGGCAGAGACAGAAACTGCCGTCAAATACGTGCAGGTGCTGGTGCTTGTGGTGGCAGAATATAATCGCCGATTTCGAAGGAGGAGTGGGAGAGGTTTGCAGCCGAACCTGTCGCAAGAGGGCCCAACATGCAACGATCGCCCTCTCTAGAAGGAGCCGCCGAAAAACGAACACGGAAAAGACTGTAAAAAAACCGTGGAGAACGATGCAATGTGTGCATAGTCGAAGAAAACAAGATTCATGATCCCCGTCCACGAATTGCCGAGAAACGAGGGATATACCGGAGTAGAAGGGATTACACTACAACTATGCGACTGTGGGAGTTCTTGCGGAACGCCACGGACCGTCTCTTGAGGTGAATTTCGTCAAGAGGACAGACTGGCGTGCGTTCAGCGCCCCGGCCCCGCCCGCCCCGCCCCCGCAGGTCCGTCGAGCGGTCTCTTGTGCAAACCTTCCAACTTGTGCCCGCTTTGTATGCATCTCCGTACATACCTGACTTGCAACACAGATCTGCTGGTCAACAAGGAACTCGTGGATGTTTGTCCGTTGGTCTCCGGACATCTGCACGATCTCGCCGCCCTCCGTATCGCTCACGATCGCGCCGTTACAGCTGTAGGGAGTGCACACGGGCCAAAAAGACAACGACGCAGACGGGAAAGGGTGGTGGGGGGGGTCGATCTACACGAAGCCAAGCACGATGCGCTTAACCAGCACGGGCAGTGTGCGAGCGTCAAAGTGCAAACCCCCTTTTAAGCCTCGGAGCTTCCCGAGTCAGAAACACGTCAGCTGTGTGAGCTGTTCGGGCTTGAGACACATCACTGATGGCAGCTGGCAGCTGATCCACACCAACACACACCACACTCGTGACTTTCATCGCGACTACCGAAAATACCGCTCTGATGAACCCACTCCGGAGGCGCGCCGCGTACACGCATGCGTGACCGTGTCGTCACCTGAAGTTCTTCTTGAAGGCCTTGAGGATGCGCTTCAGGTCGAGGTCGTCCGCCAGCCCCTGCACCGTCGTGATACACTTGCGCCCGCTGCGCTGCTGCACTCGGACATGGACCTTGGTTTGGTCGCGGCGCTCCTCCTGCGAGTCGGCGAAGGGATCTGCACGAGAATACCAAGCCCGAACGCCCAAGACGAGCGGCCACCACGGCAAGGGGAAGGGAGAAGAGGGAGGAGGCGGGAGGGGTCAATGTCGGTGATTGGCAGAGAGAGAGAGAGAGAGAGAGAGAGCGACGGGGCGGCGAGATGGAGCCGCGAGATTAGGCTTGTGCTAGTTTGACAAAGAACTCAACATGCGTCTACCCATGGCTATGCACGCATTTAGCGGTGGGAGAAGTGAAAACACGATACAGGGCTCCAAAACGCGGGCCTGGCCCTGGTGTCAGGATGGTAGGGCGCGTCGCTCGTGCTGAACGCGACAACGAAACCGTCGCCGTCAGCACCACACTCAACTGCAAGTATTCATCCATACCTCTGTGCGAGAATAAATTTGCTACAGCAAGTAGCGCCCCGGCCTGCCACGGAATCGGCTGGCTTGTACGTCGACGGTGTAGCACAGAGCACAGAGGCAAGAGTGTGTGCTTTGCGGGCGCGTGTTCGAGGTTCTCTTATGTTGCCGCTATTGTTGTCGCTAAATAAATAGGCAGATCACGCCGCCTCCAGGCAACACCCAGCTGCCAGCTGTTCCCTTTCGGTACGCAGTGATGCCGTTGTTCTCGTCTCCACGCGGACCGTTCCACACAGCAGTTGCTGTTGACTTGCGTCCTGGTGGTATTTCACGTCTTGCGGTAGTGGCGAAGCTTTTACTCTATGGGATGTCTTTCGCCGTCGGAATCGCCACCGTTTTTTATTTACTTGTGCACGGCGGCCAGCTACGCTACGTCTCTTGGTGTGTTCCGTGCCCTGGTGATTTGACATCGACTTTAATGCTACTGGCGGTACATGCGGGTGTTGTTCGAGGCAAGTCGCGAATCACGACGAGCGTGGCGAGCGACCGGGCCTCTAGCTAGTAGTCCCAGGAGGCCACGGTTCCATCACTCGTCGAAGTTTGAACCGATACTATATAGACCCGGCCCGTCCGGGATCCAGGAGGCTGACAGGGGGTTGATTGTTGTTCCGGCAACTACGTAGTCTCAACACGATACATTGCTGCTGCTGCTGATGTCGGCATCGCATCTCCGGCAGGTTGAGTCTTTACTCTCGCGAGACGGTGTCAAAAAAACAAACAAACTTGACTCACCAAACGATGAGAGGTTCTGGATGTCGCCCATGACAAAAGAGAGAGCAGAGCCTAGCCCTTTCCCGTTGGCAACTGAACGACTCCGGTGTGTTTTGGTGAAGTGGTGCCAGGCAGGTGCAGTACGACACGAGAAACGAACGAGGTGAGATAAAAGGGGCTCCGTGAAATGCATATACCCAGGGATCCCGGGAGTTGCATTATGGAAATGCGTTGTGCACAGACGCCCGCAAGGCGGGTGCGCCAGTCTTGTTCCGGCATGCCCTGGACGGAGGCTGCCTGTTTGGTCGCGGCATTGACGCTGAACACTTCGGCGATCTCGTTTGCTCTTCTACGCGTTAGTTCGATGACGAGTGTGTCTATGTCTCTGCACGGCGAGGTACGATGCGCAGCATTGCAGCTTGTGTTGAATTCGCTGGCAAAACAATCTATTCGACCTCTCCGGCAACCATGCTCCGTGTTGGTGTGTCTCTTATCCATTGCACCCGTCTTACAGCGAGGCGGGCAACTCGCATAGTCAAGACTAATCACGTACAGAGGGGAGGAACTGTTGAAGCACTCTCGTGTTATGAATTGAAGGCAAGCGCGGCAGGGGGGGAGGTGTGCACATGCTTCACTCAGGGCCACAGCATAGTCTACAATTCCAAATCACGAGACGAATCACCGTACATACCGATAGTCCAGGTACTTCTGTTTGCAGCTGCAAGCGTAGGCTAGTATAATCAATACCTGATCGTCCTTGCCACTATAACGCGTGAACTAATCGACGCTGACCGCGCGAAGCCGAGCACGCGAAGTCGGCGTTCATATGAACAACCCTAACGACACGACGAACCTTCGGGTGCATCATACATCTCCGTCTACACGACCCCCCACATTGAAAGCAGCTCTTCGTGTACTCGCCCAAGAAACGCTTGGCCGCCTTTCGGAGCGGCTGCCATGGCGGCGGCAGCAGCAGCAGCGACAGACAATCACGACAACAACGACACAACCGGAAGCATGCCGTTTTTGTGCCGGGCCTAACGGACGGCCTCCTCGCCCTCGACTACGTCCCTGAGCTCGCTGCCGCCCTCGACCGTCTCGGCTTCGCCTTCGTGCAGCCGGTCCTATCCTCGTCCTACCAAGGTGCCCCACGACATAAGTGCCGCCGCGCTGTAACCAGCTGGTGTACGTCTGACTCACCAACGGCGTGATGATACAACCTGTATAAATGGTTTTCTCTCTGATAGTGACGAGTGACGGGACGTCTTGAGGTCTACAAGTGGAGGGGCCACTTATTTCAGGCTACGGTGAGCGAGAGAGCACTTCTGAACCTCTTGGGGGTTCGCCGTCGTACCGCCGACATGATGCCGCCGGCCTCACGAAAGGAAGAACGCCTCGGTTGCATCGAGTTACAGCAGTCTTACCCCCAGTCTTTACTGTAGCGTTACGACTGTCCGAGTTGAATACAGCGTGGATTGCCATTTGGGTTCGGACACAAGAAAGTAGTGAGCCACGGACTTCCGCTACATACTCTTCATTTGACGGCCCTGGGCCGTCACAGGTCTACGATAACCCCGCGCAATAACCCTTACCCCCCCCCCCCNGCCTCGGTTGCATCGAGTTACAGCAGTCTTACCCCCAGTCTTTACTGTAGCGTTACGACTGTCCGAGTTGAATACAGCGTGGATTGCCATTTGGGTTCGGACACAAGAAAGTAGTGAGCCACGGACTTCCGCTACATACTCTTCATTTGCAGGCCCTGGGCCGTCACAGGTCTACGATAACCCCGCGCAATAACCCTTCCCCCCCCCCCCCGCCCCCCCTTTCCTTCCGTTGGCTCCTACTCGGGATTGGAGATATCAGGTTACGGCACAAGCAGCCTCCGCCAGGACGTTGAGGAACTGGACGAGCTCTTAGACTACCTTTCATCGACGCCATCTCCGCCCGTACCAGAAGTGTGAGCGGGGGGTGCGATGCAGTCGTTGAGGGTTTGAGCGTCGTCGCCCCAATCAATGATGTCTGTGTCAGATGGTTATCGTCGCGACCTTTTTTTGCTTGGGGTTGCGTTCCGACGTCGCATTGCTTCTCTTCGCTTCATCACCCCATGCCAACAAAGACGCGAACTCCGTCCGCAGAAATAGCAATCTACAGGCCTCTCGTTTGCGCCCACGGACATTAGACGTCGACTTTGGGGTTCGATTCTACGTTTTCGCTTGGTTCGTGGGCAACCGTTGAATATACGTCGTGACGATCAACGTGGAGGGCGCGCCGCCGAACTGTGTTTTCTTTGAGCCAGTACTTTTTGATTGTCATGGACGTTCAAGATCTCTGAATATTTCGTGTTTGTCCTTAGTTGTTGTTGTTGTTGTTGTTGTTGTTTCTCACATTAGCTCTATAGTCCACAAAAAATGTGGAGCCCGTGGTCTCAAAACCCGGCACATACGACGCCGCGGGGAAACAAAACAAAAATAGGGTACAAATCACTCGGAAAAAGAAAACAAAATGATAGAAGGAAAAGAACAGGTATCGCACCGACCGTTTGAGAAAAGAGCCCTCGGAAACCGATCAAAATAAAACAAAAACAAACTTAGTGCGGGGCGCTGACTCTATCTATCGCGTTGTCCCAGACAGACGGACGCAACGGCATGCGTACAGCAGAATCGTGTAGAGTTACATCCACCAACGACGATAGTCCTTGCGGACGATAGCCATTGCGGTTTTTCTCGCCCCACGATTCTTCTTGTACATCTTCGCTCTCCCACCACATCTGCTCCTTGCACCCCCTCCCCCACGCCCCAGCGCCAGCAGTGACGCCGGCAGCAGCAGCAGCAGCAGCTTCCTTTTAATCGGCCACTCCACCGGCTGCCAGGACGCGGTGTTCTACATGAAGCACGGGAGGCCGGACCTCCGTGCGGCCGTGGTCGGCGTCGTGTTGCAGGCGCCGGTTAGCGACCGCGAGTACCTCGAGACCCTGCCCTCCACGGAGGGGTTCATTGAGGAGGCCAGGGTCAGGGGGGGAGGCGGGGAACTGATGCCCGTGGCGGCGGACCAGGCCCCGATAACGGCGGCTAGATTTCTGTCCCTCGCAACCAAGGTAAATGCTATTGCAACCAAGGTAATGCGGTTATTACGCGAGCCGTATTTGTTGCGGCGTGAGGTAGCGGCCGGGGGCGTGGCGCTGTCCTTTGGCAAGTCCTAGGATCACCTTGAAGGGGAGGCGGGGGAGGGGGGTGCTGTGAGGGCGTCCTGCTTAACGCTGGCGGCCGTGAGACAAAGCACTCTTTGGATGTCATCCCCCTCCTTCAATTGTGACGCGTCACCATTGTGACGCGGCACTCCGGACGGGACAAGAGTAGCTAGTATGGACATGAATACCTGTCCGGATGGCTGGGTTGACTCGCCTGTTCTTGGGCGAGATGTCAACAAAGCAAACGGATGGCTCTCGAAAGAAAACTTATCTCTGTAGGCACACGGCAATTGCCACCTAAATAAACCCCACGGCATCGTGAAGGGCGACCCCACATCCACCTGAAACCACCTGCAGGCACCACAACGAGCACACGCAGCGTGCAACAAACTGTCAAGTACCAGCATTTCCTAATCCCTTCCTTGCACTCGAGCCTCCAACTAGTCCCGCGCCTGGCTTGACCTTTTCGCGCGACCGACCCACCCACTCACACCCAAACTTCAACGCCAGGAAGGAGACGACGACATGTTCAGCGCCGACCTCACCACGGACGAGAGGCACGGTCGGCTGGGACACATGGCCTCGGTGCCCACCGCGGTGTTCCTCTCGGGGGCCGACCAGTTCGTTCCCCCGGGGGGCGGCAGGTCTCCCCCCGAAGTGCTGGCGGAGACGCTTCGGGCTGCGATGGTCTCCTCCTCGTCGCCGTCGTCGTCGTCGTCGTCGCCGTCGTCCTCCCCGCCGGGGACTGCTTGCTCTGCGGCTAGGTCAGAATACTACACGACACATGTGTTTTCTTGTTTCTCGGCTGCGTGTTTGTTGTCGTGTGCCCGGTCATTCTAGGCGAGGTTTTTCTCGCTTGCGAGTAGAGCGGGATCGGGTGTGAATAGGAGACAGGAATGACAGCGTATGCAGAGGTTATTCCGCTGCGGAAGCAGGTGACCTGAATGTATTGTGGGCATAGTTTTGTCCTGTGCGTGTACGCCTGTTGGATGTGCGTCGATGCCGCAGAGAGTCGATTCCGTTTGTCGTTGGTGCTTCAACAGCAGAGTCGCTATTTGTTTCTTCCACGTACAACCATATGAAGAACACCGCTGTGCCCTCTTCCCTAGCTAGTCCCGCCTCGTTCGTACTCTTCGAGGAGAAAAAAAATGCAGTTCTTCGCTTGCATAATCACGTCAAGATTGACGCAGATATTTCTGCAACCCAGCAGGCCCAGGGAGAATCTCCCCACTCGCGGATGAAGAGAACGTTCCTGGAGCTGAAAGAGAGCGACAGGAGTTACGATATGTAGAACAGAAAATATCCGTAGAAGCTTGCGTCAAGAACAAAATGTACTACAGGAGTTCAAAGAGTGTGTTTATTAGGGTGTACTCATACGAGTATTTTTCAGAAAATATCCAAACGTAAGTAAAGCCTTTGAGGAAGTAGTTATAATCCATACTCTGAAGTAAAAGTGAGTGTTCAAAACAATGCTGATCCATTCTCGTAGGAGTCAAGCAAGTATGAAATATCTTAGGCAGGAACCGCAGGAGGGGGTCCAACCTCCCCCTTCTATGTGACCCCGGTTGGGTCGTCTAGCTGTAGAAGTGGAGGATAGGGGTCAGAGGGGCAGACGACAGAGTCCAATGATGGAAAAATATCACTCCACTTATACTCAATTCCATAGTAAGTATTTCAGGAATAGTCAAACGGACCACTTTCTTTGAGTATAGTATGCATGTATGCATATAATATATGCACTGAAAATACTCCTAGGACGGGTTTAAGAATACCCTCCCGAACGCACCCTTGCAGGAGTCCCACTACCCAACGAGAAACAGCCAGGAGAAGAGAATATATTCTAGTAGCCCGTAAGCATGCCGGAGGGTTGCTCATCGTTTCGTCGGTTTCCACAATCTGCCTCTCGCTCGGTTGTGGCCCTGAATCGATCGACAACGAAACTGTGAGAAGGAGTTTCGTGAACAGGGTTCGATTGTTTGTGAAATGAAATCAGTTTGGTCTTGACTAGCAGCTGTTCTTCTGCACCTCTTGCTCTTGTAGTGAACTCACACCAGCATCAATGTGCGAAATGACCCGCACGCACACACGTCGCACGTATGAACGAACAGCTTCGTTTCTGCCTATCGTACATTGAATGTCCAATACTCCCATGGGTGTGACGTTAGTGAACCCGTTGTCCTGTACCGTGCGGCAATGCCGCATGGCGTGGTTTTCCATAGTGCAAAAAATCAACGTCATTGTGTTCCTACAGTAATCATTGATCGCCTGTAGTCTATTCCCTTCCCACAATGTAAACACCCCCGTTACATCCATAAATCCGTGTTTCAAGGCAACAAGGCCAATATGTTTGATCATTATCGCACCGAAATGGGCAAGGACAGTAAAATATCTAAGGTCTAACAACGCAAAACTGACCTTATTTGAGCGCCTGCGGTCCTGGCTCTTTTGACGTGAATGAAATTGGTGTGATTTTTTATCTTGATTTCAAAGGAGGCGTGTGGAGGTAGACGTGTGGAATGTATGTTTTCAGCAGCCTTTACTGCCGCACTGTGGGAGAATCAACGCTTTCTGTTTTCCCGAATCCTTCCGACTGGTTTTGTGAGTCTCGTGTGCATTTTCTGGTGCTCTCACATTTGTTTCAAAATCAGTCAACCTCAAAATTGCTTCTTCTGCAGGCCCTTCAGCTTCCGGTACAAATAATTTTGGAGGAAGGCCAGAGAGAGGTATTTGGTCACAGAGAACGGCAGCAGTTGATGTCGATTGTTCCCTTCATATATTTCTGTTTCACAGCATTTTATTTATTGAAAATGTCATGTATCATCATCGGAGTCCCAACTCCCGTGGGGTCTTCCTCCTGTGCCCCCCCCCCAGCTGGTGTGTCCAAAACATACGGTAGGCTTCTAGAAGTAGTTCCGTAATCATGTTTTGAGCGCAACCCTCTTATGAACACCCCCCACGGTCATCGCACAACAATTGGTTCGTTTCCGAACAGCAGCGGAAGGGCAGAACCAGGAGATGGAACACGGGGGGGCGCAAGTACTACAGCATCGACGCCGGCGGCGAAGAAGACTGTGGCGTTCGTCATCGACGAAGCCGATCATAGCCTTAGCTCGCCGGATCACGCGCAAGAATTCATCTCGAAAGTGGAGATCTTCGCCGCGGGCCTATGATGAACCAGAGTCACAGAGTTACTGCTTGAGAGTGAACGCTTTGGGAACCACTCAAGTTGAAGCTCAGTACGGAATGCACGTCGAAACAAAAATATAATTTTTTCACTAATAGCGCAATATCAACCACGCACCTCTCATTTTAATATTGACCATAACAAATGACAAACAACACCAACAATATGTATTTGCGAGATTGCAACAACGGTACAATAGCCACTGCGTACTCGAGTACGACGTCACCAACCAGTTTCCGTGGAATCAATATGAGCCTAGCTTTGTTCATGTGGGGTAGACTCCTTCCACAAAGCCAGCAAACTCGGGAATGTGCAAAAAACATGTGAGAAAAAATGGGCGGTTGAACCCTACGATCACTCGCCGCCGCGCAACGCACTCGATTTGGAGCCGCCGCACTGCTCGAAGCTACTGACGTTAAACGTCAGCATTTCATTTATTTGGTCCACCGTGTTGTTCCAGCTCACATCAAGGCTGTAGCGTTCCATGCCGATGGGTTTTATACCGTATACCTGCAACGATGAGAACGAGCAGCGTGAGGCCCACGATCTCTCAAACATGGGGGGGGGCGGTTTCGAGGACGGTGACACTGTTGCTTCTAACGGCGAGATGCTGTGTTCGCGGACTAAACCGGCTCGTGGTGCTGGAGATGCTCACAGACCAGACGCGTTTTGACGTGTTGTGACAAGCCAGAATCACCAGCGAACGGACCACAGAGCATCGGGTTGACGTAAGGCTCACTGATCTCTACCCCTCCTTGCAAGGAAGGACCCATCCAATGAACGTGAGCAGAAAAAGAGCAAACGAGAAAATGCAACGGAAAAAAAAGAACCCAAAACACCAGGAAAAACATGAGCTCGGAATTCCATCGGAACATACAAGGCTCGGCACAACCTAAGCGTTTCCTTACGAAGCGCCTACACCTTGTCACGTTGGACCCGTGATACCTGGAGTGGACCGGACTGTATCCTGACGATCAACATGTTGACACTCGACAAGCCCACCTTCTCAACGGGCCAAACTTGAACAAGACCCACCTTCACCCCTTGCAGCTCGTCGTCAAGGTCATTCAGCGACGCATCAGGCGACCCGCGGGTGTAAAACTCCAGCGACCCTGCGCATGGCCTGGGGAAGTACAACCGTGACGCCGAGGAGTGGTGCGCAAGGAGCAGCGATAACGAGGACCTGACCGTCACCAGGCCACCGTCAACGCACATCATCGACAGGAAGTCCTCCTCCATCGTCCGGTCCTGGAGTGTTCGGGGCAAGGACGGATGGAGCGGCATGTGCACCGAAAGGCATGCTCGTGAGAGTGAATGCCTTCGACGACAGGCGTTTTTTTCACCACGCATTTCGATGTCTTCCTCTTCTTCGGCGAGGACGGAAACTTTCAGGGGCATCCGCCCAACTCCAGTTGGCTGCACGTTTGCCCCCAACACCGGCAAAGCTCGCCTTTTCAGCCCTCGACCGGAGTCAAGGGGTTAGTCCATGTCAAAGTGGCGTTCCGTTGTTAGATGTTCCAATATTCTGCATACAGTGAATTCCCACATATCTGCAATCGGGGGCATGGAGTACCTTGACAGTCTGGAAGAAACTAACCGGAACTGACCAGTGGCGCAAAAGGGCTAAGCTCATGGCTGGAACATGTCGAAATACTATGCGATAGAGGGGAATCGCCACTAGAGTCCGGGACGTTAGATATTGTTCATTACTCGAACTGTTACATGGGTCCAATACGGTACGACTTTGCTCACAGCCGGCCGGCCCACAGAAAAAGCGACCTGTCTGGCGAGCCACCCTGCTGGACCCACCGCTTTCCATGTGGTGCTG